GGGCCACCTGACAAAGTACTTATATCGACAAACTCCTCATTCCATATTTTAAACTTTATTTTATCCGGAATCCGCGAATCAAGAGGCAAAGCGGCAGAGTGGAACGATTCCCGTGGACCCGGCACTTGAACATGAAGAGAAAAAGGAGTGGTCTGACCTGTAAGGTTTTCTTGTATGGACGTGAGCGCGTCGTTGACCAGAGAATCTGCATTGGGACCCTGGTTTGAGATTTCGATTCCGGAGGTAGAATCCGTTGGGGCAGACGCCATTGTGGATGTGAAGACGCAGAGGTTGGTAAGAAGCCAGCTAGCTTTTGCGTGACTGCCTCGGTAACCGAAGACACCAGTGTTGAGATAAGCTCACTCGAAAGAGAGGGCAAAGCCACATCTCACGGGCACAGTTGACGTTGACGGGGTGGCACCAACAGATACAGCATTGGACGAACTTCGAGTTCGACGAGATGTTGTTGGTTGGTTCTGAACAGACTCTCGCAAAACGGCTGATGGAGCGGCGACCGCTTAGAACGACGTACGGGTGGCATTCTAAAAAATAAAACTTTAAAAGCAGAAATAGATACTTATGGCGTAATGAGTTAGATAGTAAAGCAACCGCACCCAAATTTTTGTTGTGCGAGAAATAAAACTATCCCCCGTAAGGCGAACATTCAATAGTGAGGATTCGTCGTTTTATTTGTCGTAATTGAAAATTGGAATGTGTGAAAGAATGATTATAAAACGTCAGCAGGATGAACATGGCAGATCCGAAGATCGCCGCACCGTTCACCCTGGCCAACAAAACTCACAAAAAGTGTGAGAACTCTCAATAGAGAGAGATAAAATCAAACGTCAGCAGGATGAACATGGCAGATCCGAAGATCGCCGCACCATTCACCCTATGGCCAACAAAAAAACTCACAAAAAGTGTGAGAACTCTCATATAGATGAGAGATAAAGACAAATCAAACGTCAGCAGGATGAACATGGCAGATCCGAAGATCGCCGCACCGTTCATCATATGGCCAACAAAATCACAAACAGTGTGAGAACTCTCATATAGAAAGAGATAAAGATAGAATAGATAAGGCGCTAAGGCGCTCATAAAAGTAATCACGAGTAAAGTTTGTCAAATTTCAAGGTTATAGAAAAGTAAATCACGTACGACATGCAGCTTTATATATATAGAGAAAGAATTTATAACATTTTAATTGCTTGAAGAATTGCCCCCCGATAACTTCGGTATAATTTATATTGCCCGATTCTATTAAAATACCCCGTCAGGTAGAAATGGCGTCACGGAAGGTCGTATAAAGCCATGGTGTGTCCATAAAAACACTCTCGGGACCTTCTCTAAAACTACCTGTAGGTAATTATTTAGCATAAACGCTGCTTTTCAAAAAGAGGGTTGTTCTTTCGCGGGGAAATCAGGCATACGCATACCAATTTTACGCGATATTGATCTAGCAATAAAGCAACCAAGTCGTCAATGCGTGAACCACTGTTTCGGGCCTTAAAGCGGACAAATCGTTCGTGCCTATCTCCAGAATAACAATATCTGGGGCACACCGAGAAACTACCCCTAAATCAAATTTGCGGATCTTCTCCACTGTTCTACCCCCTATACCGTGTAGATAAACTCTCGCTGTGCCCTTGAGTTTAAAGGTCGGGCACATGCGAATATCCCGGTTACGTTTCAGGTCGCACTGTAGGCGACGAACAAATGAGTGTCCCAGGACCAAAACTTTTGGGGGTACCATTGTGTATTCGTAGCTACTATATGTATATGCTATATTAATATATAAATATATATATAGAAAAACAAATATAACACTTCTGTAAATACCTTTTAACTTTAAAGGAGCTCTGTCTTTTGCGATGTCACGCTTAAACTGACCGTTTGTGGTTTGGGTATTCGGTCTTTGTTAGTTTTCGATTTGCTGCTGGCCATTCACCACCTTTCCCATATTGCGTGCCATCCATTACCTGTCGGTCTTTTAGATTGGACGCAAAGCCCATAATATAAGACTTTTAATTATCGTCGGCAAGGCGTATCCCCTTGGGGGTACACCTTGCCTTAGTAGTCTATTTATAAAATCACATTACATAAATTTCTTATTTCCTTCGTAAATATTTTGTTCTCAAAAGTGTACTTCAGAGTTTTGATAAAACAGATATCACTTTGCAGCTTATATAGTCGCTAAAATCATTGAATAAAATAAATAATGGCAAACAGGTGATTTCTGTTCACCTTTACGACTGTCTCTGTTTCCGAAAAATTTGCACGAGTTATTTCATAATACTAGAAATTTTGTGTTTGTGTGTTTGCTAGAAATTTCAGGTTTATGTGTTTGCATAAAAAGCTGAAAATTTAACAAATAAACGGCATACAAAGCTACTCTACCCACTGTAAAACGGCTAAAATAATTATTTACAATTATTTGTCTGTCGGAAAATAATTCAATGGATCTAAGGAGCTAGCCGTCATTTAACGAAGAGTGACTTTGAGGTATTGAAATAAGTCTTCAGGAAACCATACAAGCACATGCTATTGTTAGGATGACTACATTACTGCCAGAATCATGTTATTTCTCATTTCATTACCCAAAGTCATCTCAAGCTTGGTTTAATCTCGGCTAAGCGGGATTTGCAAAACTTAATTAACCACATATCGTGTTTGCGGAATGAAGCTATTATTTAATGATTTAATAAATCTTTCCCACTATCTATTAACAAAGAAATAGTAATAGGGGGGTAATAGTAGGAGAAAACGAAATTCCTATTTATAAACTGCTTTTCTTGAAACTAAACTGAAGTGAATACTGATTTTGAGAAGAAACAACAGTAGTTTATGTTTAAAACTACAGTAGACAGCGAAGTAGCTTCCACAACTTAATTCCGGTGGTAAAAAGTTCCAGTCCAAGATATAACGGTTAAAAAACGAGAACTTAAAGTAATTAGTAAGTGCATGTTAACGTTTTAACTTAAAATTATGGTTAGATCTAGTACTAGACTCACCCACAATATCCAGATATTTAAATTTGTCAATGTCACAAAGCCCAAACATGATCTTGTAAAGCTGAACGAGACAAAGGTATTTTCTTCGCAGTCGGTCACCTTGAGTCCCTTAAGTCTTTCTACAAAGGGCTGATCAGGATCAAATGGAAATTTGTCTTTATAATTATGTATATAGAGTTCATTGTAACTCCTTCGAAAATTAATATAGTTTGTTATGACATAATCATGAGATCATTGATCAATTAGGAAAATTACAGAAAGCAATAGAGTACAATATTTGAGCAATAGAGTACAATATTTGACGGAAAATTCATGTTTAGATGAGATTACTCAATCAATACAAAATTCTTACCTTCCAACATCTGCCCGCATTCTTTGACCACACTATAGCGATTTGTTCGAGCATATTTGTCGTTTCTTGATCCATATTATAACGTACGAATTGAAAAAAATCAATAAAAATTCAACGATAAGTGAAGACGCGTTACACAACCAGCCTCGTTCCCAGGCGCTTTAAATAAAATAAATATAAGAACACTACAGGCTTTTACATTGATCAGCAGCTAAGCTGACCGAGTGCGCAAGGAATTTTTGAGAGGACGCGACGGAAAAATGGAGCTTTCTTCATCTTCCCCGCGTCCTCCTCAAAACTCTGCTGATCTTTGCGGAACCTCCACTGATCTATATAAAAGCCTGTAGTGTTCCCATATTGATTTTATCTAAAGCGCCAGGGACGAGAGCACGAGGCTGTTACACAAGAGCCTAGAAAATTTAAAAAGGACGCGCTTCTTACCCACAATGCTTTTAGCGTTCTTTCATTAAACCTGCGCGATAACCTGCGATATGTCGCGCACATGACGTTATGTTGCAATCAATGCGCCTTTCCATGGTAATCAAAATTCAAAATATGAATCTTTGACTTTTCCATTCTAAATCTTACTTTTAGTATATCAAATATTATTGTACATGGATAATGAAGTTGGTGCTTTTAGTGCAATAACCAACCACACCTATGGAAAGGAAAAATGAGTTGAATTTCTCTCATGATGAAATTTGTTTCTAAGAGCTTCTATATTGCAAAACTTGTTTTTTTGATATAATTTATGAAGGGAGGCGGACATTCGTTCATTGTAAATAATAAAAATTCTACTCCATAGTATTTTTTTACTATACCCCATTTAGCTCTAGTTTTCGAAATAATCTTCTATTTTAAGAAATTATTTTCTTGAAACGAGGATCAGCTAAAACAAGCTTTCCTATTTTAAGAAATATTTGGAATATTGCTGAAGATTAATAATTTTTTTCTCATATTGAGAATTTCATAAGATAAGATAATCTTTCTTATATCCAGAAATTATTTTCTTAGCTTAAAAAAAAATTTCCACTAATAAGAATTTGTTATATGGCGCGCGGCCTCGTGACTAATGTGGCGTGCGCTGATTAGTTCTTTGCCAATCTGGAATCCCCAGTATTAGACCGTTGCCGTAGTAACGGTCCAACTCTCATATTTTTGAAAAAAAAACAAGCTTGCACCTTTATTTTTGACACGAACAATATCGACGGAGAATGGACGAAGAAGAGTATTATTTGGTACATGTGAATATTATATTTATTCATCTTTGACTTTTTTATATTACTGCATCATTCTTATTTAATGACTAGAAACAAAGTTTTTGAAGCTACTTCAGTGTTGCTTTGCGACTGGCTGGCGAAAGAGCCGGCAAGAATGCTGCAGCGCATTGTATAAATAAACTATTAAATACTGTATGCCATAAAATAAATCCCTTTGGTTAATAAGTGGTATATATAATTTCTTCTGCTAAAATCTGCAATTCTGTGGGGTAACTAATTTCTTATTATAAGAAATTACTTTTTAAACGAGATTTTATATCCTCTGTTTAAGAAAAATTTTCTTTACGTAAGAAAAAAATTCTTAAGATAACATATATTTTTTCGATAGGAAATTAATATAAATTCTATTGCCATAATTTATTAAATATTTACGACAAACCTTGACAGTCTGTTCCATTTCCTTTGAATCCATTTTTGCATGAACAATTAAAAGAACCATCAGTATTGTTACAGTAGCCATTTTGATGGCATTTGTGTGTCCCAGTATTACATTCGTTGATATCTTAATCATTAAAAGGAAATAAAGGCTAAAGTTTGTAATAGTGCATGACTCACCACAATATCATTATTTAACAAAACCAGTGCCAATACGAAGTCAACAAATTTAGATAATTCAGCAACATTTTTTGCATGTATAGCATTTTTGTAATGGCAATTATAAAAACCTGCACCACTTTGCTTCATATAGCTCTAAGCTTTAGAATTAATTGAAAAAATAGTGCAAAAATATTTTGTTATCATTTAATTTTTTTACAAAAGCCATTGCATATAATGGCATTTACTAGTCTGTGTGTTAAATAAGTAAACATATAAAACTAGCGGTTACTATCGCAAGTGAAGTGCTGCTTTGAATTTATAAGTTAGCAGTGTTGTTTTTCATGAGGGGCATGTACAGGCAGTACTGCGAAACTACATACAAAAATTAATAGGCAAATACAAAACAGACAGATCAATAGAAAACTATAAACACATAAAAAAACGAGTTAATGTCATCAAAGTTGGACTGTTGTATTATACTATATTCAAACCTAACCTTGACAGCCTGTTCCATTTCCCCTGAAACCATTTTTGCATGAACAATTGAAAGAACCGTCAGTATTATTGCAGTAAGCGTTACGATGGCAATTGTGAGAACCTACATCACATTCGTCAAAATCTTGAAAGAAAATTTAACAAAAAAGTATATTCTTAACAATTAAAAATCCGTCGATAAAAGAGCATAAGAAAGATTTCTGTCAGGACCTAACCTTGACAATATGTCCCATTTCCTCTGAAACCAATTTTGCATGAACAATGAAAAGAACTATCAGTATTGTTACAGTGAGCATTCTGATGGCAGTTGTGAGTCCCCGAATCACATTCGTTTAAATCTGAAAATGATAATGTCGGAAAAACGATATCTTTTTTGATATTCTTTTACTGTTTACTAACACATTCGTTTTGTTTTCTTTATGTTCTTGTAAAAACTAAGACTCTTTTGATAACGAATGTATGGCGATCATGGTGATTATATTTCTAACAAAGCTGAGATGACTAGACAATGCCATATATGTTTCCTGCGAAGTTTAAAGCTGTGAAACTACAATGCAAGTTAGAAATCTGTCACACTCAAGCTTCACCTTGACAGTCTGTTCCATTTCCCATGAAACCAATTTTGCATGAACAATTAAAAGAACCATCAGTATTGTTACAGAGAGCATTCTGATGGCAGTTGTGAGTCCCCGCATCACATTCGTTAAAATCTGAGAATGATAATGTCGGGAAAACGATATCATTTTTGATATTTTCCTACTGTTTACAAACACATTCGTTTTGTTTTCTTTATGTCCTTGTAAAAACTAAAAGTCTTTTGATAACGAATGCATGGCGATAATGGGATTATATTTCTAATAAAATTGAAATGACTAGACAATGCCATATATGTTTCCTGCCAAGTTTAAAGCTGTGAAACTACAATGCAAGTTAGACATCGATAGATATCTGTCATACTCAAGCTTCACCTTGACAGTCTGTTCCATTTCCCATGAAACCAATTTTGCATGAACAATTTAAAGAACCATCAATATCGTTACAGTGAGCATTCTGATGGCAGTTGTGAGTCCCCCCATCACATTCGTTTAAATCTGAAAATGATAATGTCGGAAAAACGATATCATTTTTTTTTTACTGTTTACAAACACATTCGTTTTGTTTTTTTTATGTCCCTGTAAAAACTAAACTCTTTTGATAACGAATGCACGGCGATCATGGTGATTATATTTCTAACAAAGCCTAGATTATTAGACAATGCCATACATGTTTTCTGCGAAGTTTAAAGCTGTGAAACTAGAATGCAAGTTAGACAACGATAGATATCTGTCATACTCAAGCTTCACCTTGACAGTCTGTTCCATTTCCCATGAAACCAATTTTGCATGAACAATTAAAAGAACCATCAGTATTGTTACAGTGAGCATTCTGGTGGCAACTGTGATTCCCTGTATTACATTCGTCGAAATCTTGAAATAATAATTTAGCAAAAAAAATAAAATTCTATTTTTTGTTCACATATACATCGCCTTCGTTCATTATACGTTCCTAGTTATATTCATAACAAAGCTTTTGAAACCAATCATATTTAATTTGTAATAAAATTGCGATGACTAGACAATGCTATTGAAGTTTCCTTCGATGTTTAAAGCTGTGGAACGATTGGAAAATTCTGCTATACCCAGGCCTAACCTTCACAGTCCGTTCCACTCCCAATGAAACCAATTTTGCATGAACAATTAAAAGAACCATCAGTATTGTAACAGTGAGCATTCTGATGGCAACTGTGATTCCCTGCATCACATTCGTTGAAATCTGGAAATAATAATTCGGAAAAAAATTTCAGATATATTTCTATTGTGTACAAATATATAGCTTCTCTTCACTCTGTGTGCCTAGTAATAATTAAAAGCTAGGGATCTTATTTCTAACAAGTGTGCGATGACTAGACAATGCCATTGATGTTTTCTGCGAAATATAAAGCTGTGGAACGATGGGCAATTTTAACTTTTGAATTTTACTATACTGAAGTCTAACCTTGACAGCTTGTCCCATTTCCTGAGTAGCCATTTTTGCATGTACAATTGAAAGAGCCATAAGTATTATTACAATAGGCATTGTGATGGCAATTATGAGACCCTGCATCACATTCGTCGAAATCTGAAAATAATAATTTAAAAAAAGGATAAAGTCGAAATATTTTTCAATTGTCCACAAATACTAATTGGTTTTGCACACTTTACGTTCCTAGTAACGATTAAAAGGGAGTTGATAACGAAGGCATAGTAATTAACACAAGTGTGATATTACCAGACTGCAGAGACATTGATTTTCTTGTCCTTATCATTTAGTCATTAGACTGCATTAGAATCATTTTAAATCTTTGGTGTTTTCTTCAAGTCTCTCGTTGAGAATGCGGTATATTTTCTCTTTCAAATTGGCTATTTCTTGAAGTCAAGGAAGCGAAAAAAAACAGTGCCCAATATTTTTAACTTAGCATGTCGTTTTGCATGATCTTCGCGTATCATATTCACTGGTAAATGCAATTGGTTTTTCTATTAGCGAATATGAAAAATTTTACCGCCCCAGATTTCTCATCAAACAGTTTAAATTTTATTTTTAATGTAGAATAAAATTTGGAGCCTGCAATATTTGTTCATTTTCAAGAGCAATTAATGCGAAATCTAAACACGTTCCTAAAACGTTTTCTCGATAATTGCTGATAAAAAGGTAACCCTCACGGTACCATCTTCCTCACCAAAAGTGTAAGTGGAATTTTCGAATCGAAATGTAGTAGGAACTGCGTCGAAGTGCCTTTATCAGGGAGATAAGAGGGCTACATAAAAACAATATGTTACCTATACTTTCTCTTCAAGAAGATTGAATTTAAGTTTTAATGTACACTAAAATTTGCATAAAACCTGAGAAATTTTGGGACATTGCTGACTGAAGCAAATGTTTCGAATATTAATCCTTTGCAACTATTGCCAAAATAATGAGAATTAAAGAATTAGGCCTAGTCCTCATACAGTGTGTATTTTTACGACCCATTATGAGTGACCAATGAAGAAAATATATTTTTAAAATAGACAAAGCATTTTAGGCATCAATACCAACGGACAAAAACAGTGCCGACGAATGGCGATGTACGAGACCTAATTTTCATAAATCAATAGGGAAGAAATTAAGAAATGCTGTGCTATCTGCACTTGCGTTGCACACTAAAAAAATGTAAGTAACTATAATAAAATTATATAGAAAATACACCTCAAATCATTACCGTCATCATCTGTGATAGTTACTGTCGCTTCCCCAACAGCAATTTGAACGTTGGGATTGTTATTTAACATCAAAACAACTGTAAAACTCTCGTTGCCTTCATAACTGTTATCATCAATTATCAAAATATCAACGCAATGTGTTGTTTGAATAAAACTTTGTATTCCAACGGATTTCTCATCATCTGAGTAATCTTCTCCGCTTGTTGCAGTGCCATTTCTGAATGTTAATCTTAAAATATTTATGATAAACACATTAAACCGATAGACACAAAATTAGCCGCATATCTTGGTTGCATGTACAGATTTATCGATTTATTAATTATTGTCATCAAACCTGATATTTTTCATCTTAAGATCAAAGATGTTGAGAAAGAGGACTATTCACTTTGAAATTACAGTACGAGAGTGAAAAAGAGAAGAATAAATTGTACAAATTTTTTTGAAATATTGCATGGATGATTCAATTACAAAATATTCCGTTCGCTACCCGGATGCATGTGCTTATAAATATAAAGAAAATTTACTCACGTTCCCGAAAAGGAAGTCCCATCAAAATTGCTAACACCAAGACAAACTTGCAATTTACCATCTGCCTCACCAACGGTGTAGGTTGAACTTTGGAATCCAAATGTAACAGGGGGCGGGGGGGCAGCTGAAAAAGTTGGGAAATATCTCAACAAAAGTCGGGCACAAATATATATGAAGGGAACTGATAAAATGCATATGGAGCAATATACGTAAACTGTTTCCGGAGTACCTTCAGTAAAAATTGAGAACGTCAGCAACGATATGTTTGCTTCATCCATTTATCGATAATTTTTTTTTAGTTTTCGCGTCGGAAGGGATCCAGCATAATATTTTCCAAAAATGTAATTTTTCCGCAAAAGCAAACGCAAGCCCTGAGGGTTTTAAAATTAACGATAAAATTATTATACCAAATGGAAAACTAGCTTAAGCATGTAGAGTAGAAATAAGTGCAGTTAAATGTTTCCTAAAAGTATTTCAAAAAATCTGTAAAAGCACTTAAAAATCTAGGTGTCCAAAATTACTATTGCACGTACCCTCTTAAAATTTTTTTAAATCTTTGGTGTTTTCGGCAAGTCTCTCGTTGAGAATGCGGTATATTTTCTCTTTGAAATTGGCTATTTCTTGACGGCAAGGAAGCGAAAACAACACAGTGCCCACTATTTTTAACCTAGCATGTAGTCTTGCATGATGTTCGCGTATTATATTCACCGGTAAATGGGATTGGTTTTTATATCATCGAATATGAAAAATTTTGCTGCTGCAGATTTCTCATCAAACAGTTTAAATTTTTGTTTTAATCTAGATTAGAATTTGGAGCCTGCAATATTTGTGTATTTTCAAGAGAAATTAATGCGAAACCTAAACACGTTTTTAAAAAGTTTTCTCGATAATTGCTAATAAAAAGATAACCCTCACGGTACCATCTTCCTCACCAACAGTGTAAGTGGAACTTTCGAATCGAAATGTAGTAGGAACTGCATCGAAGTTTCAAAGGTAAGAATATAATTTAAAACATACTAGCTTTCGCTTTTATCGAGGAGATAAGAGGGCTACATAAAAATGATATCTCACTTAAACTTTCTCTTCAAGAACAATAAATTTAAGTTTTAATGTACCTTAAAATTTGGAGCCTGTTTGGAGCCTGAGAAATTTTGAGACATTGCTGACTGGAGCAATTGTTTCGAACGTTTATCGTTAGTAAAGATTACGAAAATAATGAGAATTAAAGACTTAGGCCTAGTTCTTATACAGTATGTCGTGATTCATCGACGATGTTCTACGATCCATTATGAGTGATCAATTAAGTAAATATTTTTTTTTAAAATAGACACAGCATTTCACTCATCAATATGAACGGACAAAAATAGTGCCGACGAATGGCGATGTACGAGACTTTATTTTCATGAATTAATAGTAAACAAATAAAGAAATGCTGTGCTATCTGCACTTGCGTTGCACAGTAAAAAAATGACAGTAACTATAATAATTTATATAGAGAATACATCTCAAATCATTACCTTCATTATCTGTGATAGTCACTGTCGCTTCGCCAATAGTAATTTGAACGTTGGGGTCATTTAACATCAAAACAACTGTAAAATTTTCGTTGCCTTCATAACTGTTATCATCAATTATCGAAATATCAACGCAATCAGTTGTTTGAATAAAACTTTGAATTCCAACATCTTTTTCAAGACCTACTAAAACTTTGTAATCTTCTCCGCTTGTTGCAGTGCCATTTCTGAATGTTAATCTTAAAATATTTATGATAAACACATTAAACCGATGGACAAAAAATTAGCAGCATATCTTGGTTGTACAGATTTATCGATTTATTCATTGTTGTCATCAAAACTGATATTTTTCATCTAAAGATCAAAGATGTTGAGAAAGAGGACTATTCACTTTGAAATTACAGTAATGGGAGTGAAAAAGAGAGAAAAAAATTGTATATAATATAATTTATTGGCAATAGTGCCTGGATGTCTCAACAACAAAGAATTCCGTCCGCTACCCAGATGTGGTTATTAATATAAAGATCAAAAACAAGAACAACGAAATTTACTCACGTTCCTGTAAATTGTTTCCCATCAAAATTGTTAACAACAAGACAAACTTGCAATTTACCATCTGGCTCACCAACGGTGTAGGTTGAACTTTGGAATCCAAATGTAACTGTATGCATCAATTCATATTTAGGTTACTTACAATATATATTAGTTAAAACTACAAAATAAAAGTAATTTAAATGTTAAAAATTAACTCCGCAGACTGCATTCTTGAAGGAAAGTTTTGTTTTTTAGCGGAATTTTTCTTGTTTTTTGCATACTTTATGCTGTATAAACAATGTTCAAGATCCAATTTTGTTGGATCCAATTCACTTCTGATGGATGTTTTACAATCTGAGGCCTTGTATAGTGTATATGAGCAGCAAACCCACTGAAGCCAATGCTGTACTGCTTTATCAACAACCGACTCTATCTCATACGTCAAGAGTGGATTGGATGCAAAAAATTGGACCGTGTGAACAGACCTTTCGGATCAGGGTCGGATGAACGTGTGTCATTCCACGCTTGGTTGGGTCAGGCTTCCATACTTTGGGAGATTTACCTTGTGCTGTTGATGACACAATTTCCAGAACACATACAAAGAGATGCAAATATATCGACTTCCACAACTGCATCTAAGGGATGTTGGTTATAATTTAAAATTTTATTCGTCGAGCAGAGGGACAGAAATAATCATTGAATGTACTGTATTTGCAAGCGATGAACCATAGGAAGTCCAGCAAATATTTAAAATAGTCGAATTTGCTTCAGTTGCGCTTCACTACAGTTTCGCTGTGAGTTCTGTGACGTCATAGAGGTCGCATGAAAAAGCAATAATAGTGCAACTGGAGCAAATTCTACCATTTCAAATCTTTATCGGGCTACCACCCATGGATGAACGGGGCAACATAATTTATGTAAGGAGCAACAATTACAAATTTTAAAATGACTACTTTGCGCAATGTCAGGGTAATATACATTCATCAGAGGGGGGTGGGGAGGGGCAGGAGAGCTTGCATCTTTACGAAAGCTGGATAGCGTTGTATAACTGCTATCCACCGTTGTACAATTGCTTGGAAAAGCAATAAACATACAGATTTTAGTCTAATAATAGAGGATTTCTAATTTAGAAGTACTCTAAATAAAATTTAAAAAAATGCCATAAGACTTTTTGGGAATTTCACGTTTTTATTTTTCGCATAAAAGGCACTGAAAAAATGTAAGTACATTTTATTATGAAATAAACAGCTCCGGTACGACGTCATTTGATTTGGTACAGTATTACCAATATTTGTAGCCTATT